AAACTGCTAAGACACCGCAGTGTCTGCAGTCTGGCCCGACCCTGAGGACAAACTCGGAACCAGAACCCGAGGCAGGAGACTGTGCCTGCGCTCTCACGCGGAGGCGCCGAGAGGCTGTTCCTTGAGATCCGCCTGCTGTTTCTTTTCTGGAAACAGTGTCTCCCTGGCCCCGCCCGTCCCCAGGCCCCAGGGCGGAATGTAACATCTTGTAATGTGACAATCACTGACAAACCGGTACCCGAGAGGGGAAATCCCGCCAGGGGTGCCTCGGAGGGATGTGGGGCCCCGGCATCCGGCAGCGCTGGGCAGTTAGGAAAAGGGGCGGGGCAGTGGGTAAAGCTTTCGGGTCAGATCCCAGGTCGGGAGGGAGGATCCGAATCGGGGGAGGCTTTCCTGGGGCTGTTCTAGGTGACTCGACCCTGCCCGAGCCCTCCAGTCCCTGGAGAGCCCAGTCTGACAGAGCCAGGGGCCCTCCCCACCCACCCACTTCCCGCCTCTGGGACCCCAAAGCCTAATGCAAAGGGACCTGTAGGAGGAAGAGAAAATCTGTAGCTTAATTCTCAAAGAGGTCTCCGACCCTACAACAGGTTTAAGGCACTGGTGATCACTGTTTCTTGGCGGGAAAGGAGCTGGCTCGAGACTTTTGAGCAAGTGCTTGGGGCCCGGCCGAGGTGGGAGGCGGTGGGAGGCGGTGTCGGAGTGCGGGAGTCGCTCCTGGGTTATACAGTCAACGAGGACGACTTTTCTTGAAAGGCAAGGGAGCTTTCTGCTCCCCGGCGCCCTTCTCCTTCGCGGGGGGTCCTAACAGCGGAGGGGACCATCTGACCACTTCCACACTCTCTTTACCCGTCTTGGCCCCCTCGCCCGCTTTCTACTACAAAACTGTTTGTAAACAAACCTGCAGCCTCCTCGCGCGCTCTCCGCCCCCATCGAACCTGATACTTCTCCCAAACTCACCCCACCACTCTCGGAAATCCTTACACAGGACGGATATTCACAATTTTCACAAGTAATCCTGAAAGAAGGCTGAGGGGAAGCTTCCTAAACGGTCCCACATTGCAGCTGCGCTGATTAGGCCCGGGATTCGTTCCCTTTTCTCTCTGCCCTCCCCTGCCCGGGAGCGGCAGGGCGGGCGGCTGGAATTCTGGGGGTGGCGAGCGGCGGGCGGGAAGGAGAGGAAGGGGGCTGCCGGCGCGCCCCGGCTGCCAGCCTCGGCCATTGGACATCAGCGCCAGCGCTCCTTAGGGGTTCGGAGCAAACCTGCCAAGAGGTGGAGCGGAGAGGGTCGGGCACCCCTCACTCTTCGGATTCCCTCCCCCGGCTTCCCAGCGCTTGTCATATCCTGTCTCTGGCCTGATATTTCACGCGAGCGAATGGGAGGGAATTGCAATGAAGATTTATGTGTGTTCATAGTGCGACTGCTTTCCCAGTGTAGGGAAACGAGACCACTGCTTCCCATTTCCATTTTTCACTCGCGCTTCGGGGAGCGCAGTAGGGCGCGGGGGGAGCTCGTCTGCGCGGCGGCGGGCTGATCACAGGGCTCGGTGTCTCCCAGCGGGCCGCGAGACTGTGAGAAAGGCTTGCCAGAGCTTTGCCCCCGGAGGTCTGGAGCCGGCCCCCGCCTACCCCAGCCGGGCTTTGTTTCTCCCCGCTCTCCCCCTCCCTCTCCCGCTCCCTCACTTCTAGGACCCGGGCGCATCCTCGCTTTCCCTTCTCTTTGCCCCTCTCCTGGTCTGCGGAAACGCCCCCTTCCTCTGGCCCCTGCACCCTTCTGCCCTCTACTTCGCTGGTTCCCCGGGGAAAGGCGCGCGGTGGCCCGGCCCGACCCCGCCGCCGCCGGGTGCCAGGTTAGGTGACTCCGGCGAGTCTGTGGGGCCTCAGCCCACCCCGGAGCTGGGGCCGCCCGCCCTCCCGGCTCCCAGGCTCGCTCATGCCAAGGCCTGTTGCGTGATTCCAACTTGGGCTGACATTCCCTGCCCCGGGCGCTCCGGCGTAGGCCTCTTAATCATCTTGTCTGCTGCAGATCCTCGACACCAGCCAATTTACTGCCCCGTCTCTCCTTGCCGGTTTCAGGAGGGGGAGGGGAGAGCTCACAAAGGAGGGGAGCGCAGAGTAAACCGCAGGAGGAAGGCTGGCACCAGCTATTGGCACTCAAAGAAAACCACGGAATTGGGAGCTGGGGGAGGGAGGACAGGAATGGAGGTCTTCTAGGCAGCGTCTTCTTAGGGAAGCCAGGATCGCGAAGTCACTGGGACTCAGCCCAGGCCTCCCTAGCCTGGGAAATCACCCAGGAGTGCAAAAGGACACAGAGTTGTGTAACATCCCTTTCTTCTGCAGAGCTCCAACTCTGCGTCCCGTACTCTGTGGTAAAACACACGTGGTGCAGGCCCCAAAACAATCTGGCCAGAAAAGTTGGGATTACTCCCAGGATGATACCACTGAGCCTAGAAAGTCGCTCCCGTCTTGTCTGTTTTCTTGGCAGAGGTGAGTTGAAGACACACAAGTATGGCCTGAATAACCATCCTAGAGGAGGGAAGGCCTGGGTCTGGCAAGTAGGGTTCTCTGGCTTGCCCCCAACCTCCTCTCCAGTACAGCCCTCCGTTCAGGGGGGTTGACCAAGGTTCAAGCTTCAATGTTGGAAAGCACCAGAGTCTCCCAGTCCTAGAGTGCTGCTCTTCCACACAAGATGAGGTTGGAAAGGCCTCTGGCTAACTCTGAGCCTCATGATTATGAGCAAAGTAAAGCTTCCTTGTTTGGGGGCACTGGGCTCCAACAATATACTACTAATAGCAAAACTGTATTGAGTGCTTACTCTGTACCAGGCACTGCATTTCCTCATTACATGCTCACAGCTCTGAGATAGCTCTTTTTATGTTTCCTCTCTTACAGATCTTCACACTGCAACACAGAGAGACGAAGTGGGCAGCCCAAAGCCACAGAGTTAGTGATTGAAGCTTGAAAGCTGTTACCAACTGTAGGCCCCAGTGCTTTCCCAGAAAAGGAACTTCCAATTCAGGCCTGCATTACTCGCTTCATCCTGGCGAGTCTGCGGGGAATGCAATAAAGTAGGGTCACTTCCAAAAGTTGGAAGCTAGTTGGGTGGGACCCAAGGTCGTAAATCGAGCTGAATGATGTGTGGATCTTTTCACCTGGGAATGTGAGATGGAAAGATGCCACTCCCACAGCAATGAGCATCAGTCTCCATGTGAGTGTGCATGTGTGCATGAGTGGGCATATGTGGGTTTGTATATCAGTGTGTGTGAATTTGTGTAATGTATGTGAGTGTGTCATTCAGTGTGAGTGAGTGACTTCTGAGTATGTGATAGTATAAAGGTGTCCGCAAGAGTCACAGTGTGTGCTTGTTTGTGTACTAGAGAAGCCCTGTGCGCCGAGGTCGGTCGCCCTGCATTCCTGAGCAGAAATCGAGTCTCCTGAGGGCCTGGATGACTCAGTGAGTTCTCAGCTCAGCCATCCCCAGAAGGGCCGCGGGGCAAACGGAGGGGAGAGTCCACTGCAGGAGTCTGACCCGGGCTTCGGCGGTGTTTAGGCTCTGGCTGCAGTTACCCCGCCGCGCCTGGGAAGCACTGCCCCGCCAGCACTGCGGGCGCCCAGGCGGCAGAGACCGCCCAGGCGCCGGAGGGGCAGGGCGGGCGCAGGCTGGAGCCGACAGGCACTGAGTGACTCACCGCACCGCGAGCTGAGGAACCCCGCGTCCGGACGCGCGTGGGGGTAGAGCGCGAATATTCTGCGGGCCCCTGAGCGGAGGGAGCCTGTCTCTTCACCTCGCCGCGCTTCGCTGAGCTCACAGCCTTCCAAAGATGGACATTTCACTCTTGGTAGACCAGGTTCCCAGCCTGGACGGCGGCTCAAGCGTCCAGGTTGCGGTATCAAGGTGAAAACGCACACATCCAATGAAAACAATAATTTATTTAAATAATCTCTTCATATTGTAAAATCAACATTAAGAGCATGTTGTTTTCATAATAAATAACCCCAAAATACCTTTCATTTCAAGAACAAAAACTTTAGGATAAGATATAACAAACCCAAATCAGTAGCTTAGTTCAACAGAAAATTTTCGGAACCGTAGGGACTGCTGAGGTCACTGCTAATCTGCAGTTTTCACAAGTGGGGGTTTACAAAAAGAGTCTGAAAAGATGAGCATTTTTATACAAATAAATCAGTGGGAAAATCTGCACAGACACCTTTATTTACAAACTCCATGTCGAAGTCCATGATCCTGATAATCCTGAATAGGTTTTTTAAAAAAGATAATTTAAACACATTTTTTGCAGTGTCCACATATTAAAAAACCATTTTTCCCCAACATCAAAATGAGGTCATCCGCAAAGGCACCTAAACTTTTAAAAAAATAAAAAATAAAAAAAAAAACTCCACTGGTCATGAATGAGGAGATAGCTAAGGGGGAGAGTTTCTGGCTGGGAGGGCTAAGGAGGGAGAAGGATGGGCTCCCAGGGCTGGAAACGGCAGAGCGGAAAAAAGCTGCGGGCCGCCGGGGTCAGGGGGGCGCGTGGGGGCGGGCGGGCCGACAGGCAGGACCCAGGAGGTCAACAACCCGGCGGACTGCGCCGAGCCTGGGGGCGGGCGAGGAGAAAGGAGCTTCTGAGAGCCTGGGAAGCCTCGCGGGCGGGGGAGGAGTCCTTTTCCCGAACTCAGCTCACGGCCCGCGGCGAGAGAGGCGCCGGACAGCCTCGCCGGGAGGGGAGGCGAGGGGAGGCAAGTCTGAGGCGGGGCTCAGGTCGGGAGGGCGGCCGTGGCCCGCGGCCTTCACCGTGCAGCGGCGGGGGATCTCCGAGAGGAGCCTTCCAGTTCCCGGCCGCTTGGTGGCCGCGGGAGGGAGTAGAGCCTGGGGCAGGCCATCCCGGGCCACAACCTCCGGTAGGGGTGGCAACAAGCGGGCCAGCTGAACAGAACCCCCTGGCTTGTGTGCGAGCACTAAAGGGTCTCTGCTCTCAGTCTTTGGCGCAGTCTCCCTGGGGTTAGAAAATCGTACCGGCGCTCACCGGGGCGCCCCCGCCGCCGTGGTGGTGATGGTGGTGGTGGTGTGGCTGCGGGGTCTGCGTCGGGTGCAGCAACGGAGCTGCGGCCTGTAGATGTGAGGCGGAGCCCGAGGCCTGGTGGTACCACGGATAGTTGCCCAGGAAAGCCGAGGCCGCACTGCTCGGGCTGGAGCCCGAGCTGCCCGCGCCGCTGCCTCCGCTGCCCGGGCCGCCGCCGCCGCCCCCCATCCGCGGAGGCGCGCCGAAGTCCCAGGAGGCCGGCGCCGAGACGGGCGGCGAAGCACAAGGTGGCGAGGCGCTGGCCCCAGGGTGCTGCTCCGAGGGGATCTCCCCGCTCTTCCACATCTTCTTGAACTTGGATCGGCGGTTCTGGAACCAGATTTTGACCTTTGTGGAAAAGGGACCCGAGCATTAGTGGAGGAAACAGCACTGAGCAGGGGAGGAAGCCTAGAAAGACCGACAGGAAGAGGTGGGCACCGAGCGCTCTGGGCGCACAGGCGGATGGCGTGCCGCGGCTCGGGAGGCTGCGATGATTTCTGCTCTATTGGGTAGTCATCTCAAAAAGCCTAAGGCAGCTGGTGTGTGTGCCCGGTGGCGATGTTGACGGAGGGAGGGGGTCTGGAGGGCCAATTATTTTACCCGCTTAATCAGTAGTGTCGAGAAAAGACAACATGGTACCGGATTCTACCCACCCCGTCCTTACCCTGGGGGATTTCAGTTTCGAATGTAGACGTTTACACCGCCCAAGGCGCAGGCCTCGAAATCCTTAAGATTATTTTAAATATATATATATTTAAAACATTGTCCTGACCCGCCTGCTTCCCAGCCCTCCCAGGCCAGCGCCCTCCTCATCCTTCCTCCCCCACCCCCGACCCGCTCCCAGCCGCGAGCCCTTACCTGAGTCTGGGTGAGGCCCAGAGACGCGGCCAGCTCTGCTCGCTCGGGCAGTGCCAGGTATTGAGTCTTTTGGAAACGCCGCTGAAGAGCCGCCAGCTGGAAACTGGAGTAGATGGTGCGGGGTTTCCGGACTTTCTTTGGCTTGCCGTTCACTATCCGAATTTCAGGCTCGAGGTCCTCTTTCTCTGCAACGAATCCCAACGGTAAGAACTGCGTTAATCAGGGAGCTCAAGAGTTCCCGCCCGTGGAGAGGCCCGGCGTGTGAATTGGCCGGAGCCGGGAGACGGATTCTCAGGCGCAACTTCGCAATGGGCGGAATGGTGCCGGCACCGACCCCGGAAGCTGGGCCCTCCAGCCAAGGGGAAGACAGGCGCGTGCTGGGGAGAAAGGAGGAGCAGGTGGCACAGAAATGAGGCTACCATGAAGCGTGCCTCGCGCGGCCCCCAGGGCCACCCAGTCCGACAAGCTGAGCACGGAGGGACATACCCAGTGACCCTCGGCAGATTGGAGGTTAAGAATGGTGAGGGCGCGGACCGGGCCGGGAGCAGGTAGTGGGAAAGGCCAGGGCTCCGGAGGGATTCCCCGCCCCAAACATTTTTATCCCACCCATCTAGTAGCGAGACCGACGTGGCGCCCTTGACGCCAGCGTGTTGCTTACCAGGTTCGTTGTTGGCCGGAGACGAACTGGTCCCATAGGGCGCGTAGGAGGTGTAGGCGGCGGTGTACCCCAGGTCGTAGCCACTCTTGGCGGAATAAGGGACGTTGTTGAGGCCGCTGGCGTGGTACTGGTAGGAACCCATGTGCGCGTAGGGCGACCCCCCACCGCCGCCTCCGCCCGCCGGGTGCTGCTGGTTGGTGTAGTAGCTGCTGTCGGTGGCTGTGGACACCGGCAGGGTCGGCGACTCCTGAGGCTTGTGGAGGCTGCTGACGTTGCTGCTGCCCGGGCCAGCGCCACCACTGCTTGGGGGCTGCTGGTGCTGGTGGTACGTGCTGGAGGCCGTAATCTGGGTCGAGTGCATATCAGCCACCAGACTGTCAAAGACTCCAGTCATCCTGGCCCGGGACGGGAAAGAGCAGGGGTGGCGGGCGCGAGGGGGGAAGCAAGGCGCCTCCTCTGTCTCTCCTGTCCCCTCCAGCAGCCAATGTAATTGCGGGGGGAGGGGGGCCTGGAGTGGGGAGGAAAACAAAAAATGTGGCAATGGTATAGGCAACTCCTCCTCCGGGGGAGGCGATCACCGTGCACAGCTCCGGACAGTTGCCGCTGGCCGCATCCTCTCTCCGCCTCTTGTCCCGCTCGGCTTCTGGCCCAACGCCGGCTCGGACGGGGGTCGGCAGTGGAGGGGGGGCCGGGGTGACGGGGCTGGGCCGGGGATCCGGGAGGCGGGAGGAGCTGAGCAGCCCGCAGCGGCTATACGATTGTCTGCGGGGCGGGCTCCTGCAGGGTGGGCATTTAACACTCATCACGTGAGCGCAGGCAACGTCACCTAGCAACAGCCAATCAGAAGCGCGGGGCCGCGGGGTTACAGACACCCAGGAACGCTGGGCGGGCAGGCGGGTGTCACAGGGCGGGCGCTGCGGCTGCTGTGGTCGCGGGTGCAGACGGGCGGCTGCCGACTGTGAGCAGCGAGGCGAGAGACTTGGGGGTGGGGTGGGGAATTAGGGTGGCCGATGGCAGGAGGACAGAAGGCATGAAGACGGAGACTGGCATTTCCTATTCTGTGTACAAGTGCCAACCAATTCCAGTGGTTCTTACCTTCAAGTCTGGGGTCAGCTTTCAAACATTAATCAAAACAAAGCAGTGCCGAGAGCCGGGCCAATTCTAGCGACGCTTTTCCTCAGTGTCTGGTACTTAAACGTCTTCTTGCCAGCCACTCGGCACCTGACATAGTCAATTGATTTAAATTATTCTTAAACGACGTACTTTTTATTAATACCTGCTTCCTAACTAACCCGCAGGGATATCAGGACAATTAATTAGGTAATATTTAAACGATTTTTTTCCTTGTTGCTTTAGAGGAAAACTATATAAAAATCAAAGGTATTGTTGCTGATGATATACTATTTGACATCATTTTTCCTTGTGTTTTCCTGACACGTGGGGATTGTGTGTTAGACAGCTAACTGACACCCGAATAACTATCCCGGGGATTCCCTCTCTAGGTTGGAAAGCTACCAGACGGACCAGATGGTTTTCAAAGTTCATTTTAACTCTAAATTCTGTGTTTTTATGAAAGAAGAAATGGAATACTACTTAGGTGAGAGAGTCGTCTCCATACCACAACTTTTGGAGACTTACAGCAACAGATAGAAAAGTTTTATCTCATGCATTTAACCCTATTTTACAGCTTTTCCCTTTAGGACCCTGTTCCTCCCTAATATCGCAATTTATTCGTTTAAATCGGAAGTGGAGGCTTCCTCTATGTCTCTATTTTCTGGTGGTTGGGAGCTGTTGTCTGGAGTTGGGGGACACTTGCCCTGGCTGGACTCCCAAGTCCGCAGTTCCTGCGGCAGTACCTACCTTGTAGCGACACCTGCTGGAGGTGTGCATGGTTGCGGCGGGTCCAGGAGACAGCCTAATCACGCTGCGGCGCCAGCCTCTGAAACCCCCCAAAAGAACAAAATAGTAATTAAAAGCCACAAAATTGTGGTAGTGCGCGCCATCTGAAGCACCCCCTTCCTAAAGACATAACGTGTAGCTGAAAGAACTTGTTACAACAACTGCCTAATGGAAAACAAGTTGATACTTTGAAAAATATGATCTTTGGTTTTCTTCCCCAGAAAAAGCAAGTGTGTAATTAAAGCTACAGCATCCACACAGCTCAGCCTCGGTGGAATAATGAGGAAGGTAATCCGCCTTCAAATCTGCCTGGATTTAGTTCCCAGCCTTCCTTCTGGTTAATGGAGAAGAGTGAGATGCTTAGAAATGCTTTGGGAGGTGGGGCTCACCGCGACGGGACCACACGGCGGCCTCTCTGCACTCCGCCTGCTGCCTTTGTGGGCCCCAGTCACAAAATTAAGCTCTAGATAATTTAATCAAGATTGCCTTTTGGTGCCTTGACTCCAAATTCCAAGTCGTTCTGTCACCACAACGGTAGCTGTTTTGACCTAATATAGAAACCTTTTTCCCCTGCAAATGAAATAGAAAAGATTCAGTTGCAGTCCTCTTGCCTTCTCTGTTCCTTTGTTCCCACCACAAGCATGTCCTCCAGGCTTTTTCATAGTGGTGAACTTTTTGTATTTTCTTATCTACGAGAACTTCCATTAATAGCCTTAGATCCTCCTCACCTGAGATCTAGAAAATGGCATCTTCCTGCAACGAAATATGACTCCAGTTCTCTTTTAACTGGAAAACAAGGGACTGTGTGTGTGCGTAGGAGAAAAGGAGAGACAGAGGAAGAGGCAGAAGTTGCAACTACATTTGCAGAATCAAGACTCGAAATGGTAATTACGATGATCCAGATACAAATCTGGGTTTGCCCAAATTATCTGATCACTGCGTCACAATATCCAAATGACTTCCTCAGTTTGGTCTAAAGTCAGGGAAACAGTCCCATGTAAAACTGATACTCTGGCCCGCAGCTCCGAGCAGACTGATGGCCCTCTCTAAAGTGCTGTGAGAAGAGTTGAGAGGGAACTCTGAGTTTGGGCGAGCAGAGGTGCCCCCTTTCCTCCTCTGCCTCAGGGCAACATCCTTCCTCTTTTTTGCTTTAGCTTCTCTCTCTCAGCCCAGGCATTCTTTCACTCCGCAGGGATCTAGAGAAGGATGGGGGAAGGAGGGGAACTCAGTGTCTCTGCTCTGGCCTTGTTATGTTTCAGTCCCATCGCAGAGACACTCTTGCTTTGGATCCTGTGCCCACCAGTTTGTCGCCACAGCACTTTATCTGGTCACGGAGTCTCACTGTCTCTGAACCTCATGGCAACCCTTGCAGGTAAAGACAGAACACGGGCGAAATCATCGTTCCCATTATACGGATGAACGCTGAGGCTGGAGGGCAGGCACAACTTCCTTTGAGCTAGGTAACCCTTCTTTCTCTGTTACCATGGTTCAAGCCACAGGTTATTCACTGTGAGCCGCAGTTGAAGAAGTCTGGGTCTCCAGTAGACCATGAGCAGTCCTGGAGAACAGGTCACTGCTTTCAGCGAGCTCCCTGCCCCATCATGGGCCTGCGTCAGGGTTTTAGGACTTAGGCAGTACAGTGCCTCTGCACAATCTTGGGGCGTCCTCCATTACCCAGACCCTGAAGGCTGTGGCAGGGGAGAGGTTGCCTCCTGCCCACAGAGGGCCGGCAGGGAGCTCAGACGGCTCTGGGGTGCCCTTTGTGTGCAGAGGGACAGGCTCATTCTCACTGGCCTTCCTCACTCTGGGGTCACCCACTCTTTGGCTGGACTCCCCTGTGGCCCCACTCTGCACTCTCTTATCGAGGGTTCCAGAACACTGAATTGCTGGGCTATTGGTTTGCAAGGCAGTCTTTGAGTAGTTCTAGGAACCTGCGGGCTCCTAGAATGGTGAGAATCTCTTTGGGGTTCATTCTAGAACTCAAAGACGTTGGGAGAGGGTAGGGGTTTGGTGTGTGGGCACTTCCCATCTCCGCCTTTCCAGGACTAGACCTATTGTGCTTCCATCCCTTCTTCATTGGTCTTTGCATCTTCTCCAGGTCAGCTGAAGCCCAGTTCTTTCTCATTGCTTGCATCCTCAATCTGGTTTCTTCTGCTTGCCCCTAGAGTGGCCTCCAGGGACTCAGGATGCAGTCAGCTCCTTCCCTTTGGTCCTTAGGCAAATGAGATTAGATCCCTGACTTCGTGGTCTGCAACCTTGGGTTCCACTTTTTTTTTTCCTTGCACAGATTCGATGAGAGGACAAAAAGGAAACATACCCATGGGGGAGGGGTGTTGCGAAAACTCTGCAGGGACGGTCAGTTGGACCCACAGTTTTGTGACAGCAGGAATTGGCTGTGCAGAATGGATGGCCCCCAAGTCCTCTGCCTTCTGCTGCACTTTCGCGTCCCCCAGCCGCATCCTCAGGACTCCTTTGCCTTCAGCTCAGAGGTTATCTTGGATTTCCCTGTTTGCAGCGGTCCCTAGCTTTGCCTCTCTCTCCATCATCTCCCCCATGAACTTGTAGGTCTCAGTCAGACACTTTCTTCCCACCTACCAAGCCAGGCGCTGTGCCAGGTGCTGGGGAATCCTGTCCTCCAGTAGCTTACAGGAAAGTGGAAAAAGCAGATATATTGCCATAACTAATAGTAATGACTAGCATCTATTTCTTGAGAGTTTGCTGAGCGCCAGGAGTTCTGTCAAGCCCTATGCTTTTGTTATCTTACTGACCCCTGGGAACGGTCTTATGTGGTGGGTACAGAACTATTCACATTGAGGAAACCAAGGCTTAGAGAGACTGAATCATTTGCAAGAACTCTGAGCTGAGTCGGCTAGAACTTGGCCGCTGCGGATCGGGGCTGGGTTTCTGGCCTGGGGATCGCCCAAGAGGGCCGCGCCATACCCGCCCCCCTTTGGGATTGTGATCGCAAGGGGACGAAGGCCAAAGGACATTGATAGTCCTGAAATGAGCTCTCCTCTCCGGCCCCAAAAGCCGACCGGAAGGAGAGATTTCCCTTTTCGGGACTAGCAGGTGCTCGGGCCAAGCGCAGGAAGGAACCACGGACCGACCCCGGGAAGATCCCGGAACGGACCGAGGGTCACTCGGGAGGCGGGCGAACCGAGTTCGAGGCGGGTGTTTTGTCCGTGCTGAGTCTCCGCCCAGGATCACCTTCGCTGCCTGCTAGAGTGCGAATAAGCACAGAAGGCTTTAGGAGGTCGGGCGGGCACTTGGCTCGGCTTTCACAGCCAGGACCCTTCCGCGGTTGGGTCAGGACCCCGGCTTGTTAGTTCAGCATATTTCTGCAGCGTTCAGATTCACTTTCGCTGCCTGCCTTCTAAGTCTCCCTGACGCTTGCTAGGCCCATTTCACTTTATTGCCTATTCAGTGGTTAAACAGAAGAGAGAAAGTGAGGGTTCCTGACAGTGGCGGGCGCCCAGCAAGGAGCCAGAGGCTCTG